TCGTAATCCATTAAAACATCTATTAGCCATAGTATTTCTATTTTAGATTTCAATTGTACAAATTAGCACAATAGTTTTATTGTTTGTTTCCGAACCTAAATAAGTGAAGCTGATTCTATTCTTTAGTAGGTTATTAAGAAACTCATTACACTGTATGCGTTAATTAAAAATCTCATTACACTGTGTTCCATCTCTTTAACACATCTTCAGATGAACCGCATCTGTAATTTGCAATGATGGTTCTTGGAATGCTTCCCAAGTACATTTAACTTAAAACAAAGCGGAGAAATGCAGTTTAATAGACCGACGCCAAACACTTCACTTGCGAAGCGTAAATCAATTCCTCTGTGCTTGGCAGTCTGACAAGTGCTACAACAAACACCAAAGGCAGCAAAAAAATTTCCGGGATTTGATGGATTTCTGGAATTCTCAGCCAATGCTCCCAGATTTTTATCCTTCTGATCTCTGTGTGTTTTTGTAATGTTGAAACAAAAGCTAACGAAAAGCTACTTGGGAACAATGTAAAGAGTTTTTTTCCCTACGATAAATTGAGCTATTTCCTGTAAATCAGCATTTAAATAGATGTATGGATGGCTAGTGCATGCTTCTATGATAAAGACCGAAGGAAATGTGCGGGAATATATCTATTGTTTCTCGAAAAAGTGTACGAATGTAGTGTGTTAGCTAGAGGAAATGTAAAGGAAATTATTGAAAGAAAGTAGTAAGTAAAAAAATGCGTAGAGTATTGGAGTAAGTTTGTGTACTGGAATAAATTGTAGTAAGCAAACAGAATGAAAATGAATTTACAATATTAATATATTCAAGGACTTTCATTTTTACGATAGTATCGGAAAACAAATAAAATATTACATGTTGTTGTTTCTTATGCCACCTGACCTCGACTGCGTCAAATCTAGGCCTACAAAATTCGTCATAGCAAGGGGCTAGATGTACGCCTGTCGTTATCCGTAGCCTTGAGAACCATGCAGGCGACAGAACGATTTAGTTCGGTTCCACTCGAATTTAAAGGGAAAATACCCTTGGAGGATCAGGAGCCTCCGACCACCTTACACCAACCTCACGAGAGGACTTGCGTCTCCACGGATATTTAGAGTATATCCATGCCGCAAAGGCACTATACATTTACAAACATCCGTATTTTCTTCGGGTTTCGAACCCAGGCCCTGCGGTACAGCAGTCAGTGTCGTCAACCACTATACTGGATGGGCGAAATATTGCATATACAAACACAGTGAAATCAAAAATATAAGATTATTCATAATAGCTTCATTTCGTCATTTGATTTTAAAAAGACAGAATATGAATTTATGAAAAGAACTTATATATATTTCACGCACCCTTCCCCCCTCTTTCTCAGAGTAAATTTACACAAAATCAAGTTTTAGTGGGATCTCTACTCAATAAAAGAAACATCCTTGCTAAATTTCAATTCTTGAGGTCTAATTGCCCCAAAACTGGAAATTTTATGTATAGCACCCCCGCATTACCCCTAAGTAGAAGATTTCTACAAAACCCCATTTCTTAGTGGATATCTATTCAACAACAACAAAAAAATATCTTTGGTAGATTTTATGATTCTAAGTCTATATAATAGTTCAAAAACGGTATTCTTTTTATTTATAACACTTCCTTAATTCCTCGCGTCTCCCTTGGGAGTCGACTCTACAAAACTCATCTTATTGTATCTCTACTCAAGAAAAGAAACATCTTACCAAATTTCAAGTCTGTAGGTTAAATAGTTAAAAAAAATGGGAAGTTTAATCTGCAATGCCTTTCGCAATCGACCTGATGTATCAAGTTAAAACTTTGAAACAAAAAAACGTATAAAAAAGAAATAAATTAATATAATAATAATAAAAAAAAAAAAACTCCTTTAAATCTTTGGTATACAATAAATTTAACTCACTAGCCTGGAAATTTAAGATAAATTAATAGTATACATGCATACAACTGTTCAACATTAGTCAACATACAATTTACTTAATCAACGAAATGCGCTAGATCTTTCATTGAATTTAAGATCACGCTGTCGACAGCAGGAGATCATGGATCGGGATCATAAATATAAATCAACTTATAAAAAAAACAAGTAATATAAAAAAAATTAAGTCAATTCCTATTTAGGTTGACTAATAAAAATTTTATTTTAGTTACTTTTTATTAAACAGTTACAATTAATATAAATATGTTTATATATATGAACGAATCACACTATTAAGTGGCAAAATAGAAAGTGTTTTTTCATTTTCCTTTCTATATAGGGTGTTTGACTATTATTTTTTTGTGTTTGTTACTATTTATTCATTGATTAAATTTAATTATTCCAATAAAATAGTACATATAGAAGAAAGAAATCATATTCCCAGAAATTATACCATCCCAGACGGAATTCGAACCCACAATCTTTGGATTAGAAGTCCAATGCGGTATCTATTGCGCGACAGGTACACGCACACAACCAGCGATTTTTCTTTTTATATAGGGTGTTGGACTATTATTTTTGTTTCTTACTCTTTGTTCATTAATTAAATAGAATTAATGAATTAATATTTGCAAAAACTGTATGGACATCAAGTGTCATCCACTACAAATTTAAAAAAATGGGTGGATGAATAAAAAAAGTATTTTATTAACGATTGAAAATTTGAACAAGATATATATATATATATATATATATATATATATATACAAATAAATATATATAGGGAGAGTGTAAAATAATAGAAGGAATTGAATTATAAGCATATGCGCAGAGATATATGGGAAATCCAAATTAGGAAATTCAATTCGTAATAATAGTTTGTTAGACAAAAACCTTGTCTTTCAATCTTGAGAATTGCAGAACAATTATATGTAATTCCTAATTGAACTTCTTCACATATGTTGGCTCGTTTGACTGACAAGCAGCGTGCTGGCTTCGTAAGCCCAGGCAGTCCGTCAGTAAATATTAACGTCACACTTTTCAATTACACGAGGACTTTTAGCGACGGAACTCATAATTTTGAACCCCGGTCAAGAAATGAGGACGACACCTAACACCTAACTACCCAACCACACCAACGGGAGGACGTTTGAGCCTCGATATATCTGATACGTATCGGCTTCCTCTGCAAAGCGGGTTTTCATATGTACTAGACTCGAACTCATGACGCACGCGCCACGAGTACGTTACATTGACCACTATGCTACCGCAGCCACTCTGTAAGCCCAAAAGGGCTCCATTCCAGCCGGAAAATCGAAAATCGTAGGCGCATATGTCATATGATTATGTAGCATGTAAAAGATCCATTGAGTATCAATTTGGTTCTGTTACTCTTGGGGCCGCGGTAGCCTAGTGGTCAAGGTAACAGTCTCGTGGCCGGCGTGTCATTAGTTCAAGCCCAGTACCACTGAAGACCCGCCGTGTAGGAGAGCGATGCACGTTAAATCTGTCGAGAGTTCAAACGTCTTCCCGTTGGTGTGGTGCGGTAGTCAGGAGAGGGGGATGCCAGCTCAGGTGTCGCCCTCACTACTTGATGGTTCAAAATGACGAGGTCCATCGCCAAAAGCCTTCGAGTAGCTGAACAGTGCGACTTTAATATTCACTCACTCACTGGCACTCTGCAAAATTAAAGTCGAGGAACTTTAACATTTGAACCAGAGCTTCAATTATAATTCAAGCGTCGAAATTTTGTAGCAAAGGCCGCAACTAGGTGGTGCCACCTTGAAATGGGTTCTACATTTTGGGGACTTGCAGTGTCTGCAAAGGCTCAGTTGCCAATATGCAGTTCAATTTTTTTTTGGTGTGGGGGGGGGGCCTTCTTTAAATATATTTTGTAGAAAAATAACCTTTAAAAACTCTTTGAGGATTCTCATTAGAAATCTCGATCGACTGATTATTTATAAACGTAACACTTTGAGATGCTTCTGAAATCTTGAAGAATCCTTTTTATGTTACTAAGATATTATACGAAGTATTATTTTGAAATATTGTACTTGTATTTTGTTTTAAAAGAGAAGATGATAATAATATTTACAATAATATTAAGTAATTTTGCGCTTATATGGTAACCATATCCTGGAAAGTGCATAAGCAAAAATAATCCGTATTTGCGACATTATTATTCTTACATTGATGTATTACAAATACCTCTGCCAATTTCCGGAAAACAAAACAAATAATTGTAGTTACAAAGGTTTTGATAAATATGTTACTGTAATCATTAAATGATACAAAAACCCATCATATATAATAGAAGTATAGTTATATAGGGGAATAACGATCTATATAGAAAAAACTTTGTTTTTGAAAAAAAAAGTAATCATAAAAATTTGCTTACGACATACAACTGCTAGAATTTGCAGGATTGCATATCTTGAAAGGAAATATACACGATTCAATTCACATATGTATTAATAAAATTATTATGTTTTAATAATATTCATTATAACCCTTTATCTACCGACAGTACCGATGGTACATTTTCAATCCTGCTCCATTTCCATTTATCTTCTTTTTACATTACCCATTCTTCAATTCAATAAGCCAATTAATATCTCAGTCTGCCATTTTTACATCATCAAAAAGTAGGAGCATAAGCAATCCAAACAGAAGAGATGGCATCATATACATACTACACTACATCAAGATCATAATCATCTAAAAAAAATAACTCTTTCAGTAATGTAGTATTCCTTCCAAGATGGCGCTAATTTCTTACCATCTTATGACTATGGATCCCATCCATGACATCATAATCATATCTCGATGATTTAAAAAAGAATAATAAAAAAGAAGAGCGCGCTGTAAATCAAAAAAGAGGCATTTCGGATGGTCTTGGAATAATGAAAGACAGTGGTTATGTTTCTGTGTTGTGTTTGTTTCGAGTTTTGTGGCAAAAAAAGGTAAATTCTTTTAGGGCGTACATACATTATGATTGTCGTTAGTTGAAGCAAGTAATGCATTTCATGTTTTGAAATTGCCCTTAAATTTGATGGGAATCTTATGCTAATTAAAGACATATTTTTTAATTTTTGTTCATTTAACAGAAAAAAGGACTGAAAATTCAAACAGTACAAAATAAAAAGCAGATTTTGATTTCATTATTTTTATTTAATTAATATGACGATTTCACATTTTCTTCGAGACATAAGTTAATTTACTGAAGTAATTTATGGAAGCTGTTTCATTAATGAGAAGTAATAGTTATCTTTCATGAAATCATTATCATGAGTATATGTTTCCAAAACTGCATATTTATTAAAACATTTTTTTTTTTTTGGAATTTTCTTTTTTTAAAAGTTGCAACAACATTTTTTACTTTTTTTTATTTAACTGAATTTTTTTCGTTATTTGAACTTTTAAAACCTAAAAAATCGTTTGGCCCAAGTATAAATCCTTTAAAAAATGTATTTTTCGAAAATTATAAATATAGGGGTTTAATTGTGCGATTCGATTAATATTCTCGCTAATAGTTTGTGTGAATTTCAAATATTTTACGGAGAAATATTTTGATTTGCATAATGGATTGGAAATTTGGGGAAAATTGATATTATACTAGATACAACTGTTATTATTAAAACATAAATTTTTTTTACTGCTAATGCTATTTTATATGACTATTATACCATTCTTACTATTGACATGAAAGTTCTCAAAATTATAATCTTTAGTTAAATTTTTCATTAAAAAGTAATAAGTATCAGTCTTTAAATTCGTATTTATAGTTATTTTAACTTAAAGGAATTAAAAATTCTTATACTCCAATATCGTTTTAAAAGTACAGTATTTGTATTTCAATTTTAATTTAAAAAAATCATTTTTCTCACTTTTATTTTTATACTATCAGTTACCCATCCATTTCACCCGGTATTTTATGAGGTTGTATGAATATGCAGGTTTTGTGTGTGGTATATAAGTTTTATAGTTAAGCTTTCATATATTTTGAAAAACATTATTATAGCCTTTCCATCTTAAGGTATCCGACTACGTTCAGAACCGTGATTATGCAAAAGCGTGTAAATGGATAATATTTATTACATTTAGTATCACTTCGATTAGAAAATGTATATAAAATTGTTTTAAGAATAGTATTACAATAAAAAATTATTTAAGTACAATATTTTGACAAAAAATAAAAATAGAATGACCCATTTTCAAAATGTTCTCCTTTTCTGAAAAATGTTTCTGTTATAATAATATTTTGCCTGTATATAGTTCAGACCTTTGTACAGAGGCTCATCTAGAATTTTTGAAATATATAACTTAGAAGTGGGTTTATCCATGTTTTACGACAACAGAAGGGAGAAAGTTTAAGAAAAAAACGCCGATAATTATTTCAATGGGTTGTAACTCTGAAAATAATGTGAATTTTTGAAAAAAAAATAGTTCAGACTCTCTGGAGAAGTCTTTACTTTATATAAGCACACAAAATATTATTATTTTAGAAGCATTTTTTATAAAAGGAGAACATTTTGAATAAAGGTTATTCAAAGTTAATTTTTTGCCAAAATATTGTATTTAAATAATTTTTTTTGTCATAATGTCCTTAAAACATTTTTATACATGTATTCTAATCTAATTGACACTAAATATCATGAAAATTATCCATTTATGCGCCTTTTTAAAATCACGGTTCCGAACGTAGTCGGATACCTTAATTACAAAAAGACTTGTATTTCTAAAAATGAAATCTATTACTTATGCTTGCGTAACTCCTCCCCCTTGGGAGTCGATATCAATAAAACAATCTTAGCAGATCTCTACTCGACAAAAGAAACATGCTTACTAAATTTCAAGTCCATTGGTATAATAGTTTGGGAAATCTCGTAATGAATGAGTGAGTTAATTAATGAGTGAATGAGTAAGTCGTTTTTCTCTTTTATATATATAGATAATTAATTGTACGAGAAATTCAAAAACCCTACGCTAGAGACATTAAAAAACACATTTTTTACAGAATCATGCATTTTTTTAATCAAGCTATAAAAATCATGCATTAATTTTTCAAGTTTACTAATTTATTTAAAAATATCCATAAATAATATTGAAAAAGTCTGTTTTTAAAAAAATTTCTTGAGCCTTCACAAATTCCTTTTTGAATTTCTAATATCCACAACACTTCAAAATGGTATTCCATTCTTTTTTAACATATACATCATCAGCGGTGAAAAAAAAATTCCTTTCAAAATAAAATCGGAACGCCTTAGAAATTATCTAAATTATGTACATAAATAAATTTTTATGCTCCGAAAAGAATTAAAAAAAAAAGATTCCCAAGGAATGAAAAGTTTAAGCATCAGCCTAAATTTTCAAAAAGAAAGAAATCTGGAAGTAGCTATGTATAGTCGTATTTGTTATAAGATATAGTTTTATTGTAACCACTACATTGTCTTTTCTCAAATTTATTACATAATCAAATTTTATGTGAATCGTTTTGAAATGGTATAAGAAAGGAAATGTTAAGTCT